TCTTTTTAAGTGTGCTGGTGTTTACATCCCGAGTCGCCGAAGCCACAGCCCAGGCTTGATAACACTCCTACTTACTGCGTAATGCATTCTTACAGGAGCGACCAAACCAAGGCTGAGATCTGCCTCCGATGGGTACCACAGATGATGGAATAAATAATTCCATTCTCTGTAGCACCACATCAGTGACAGAGTCAGCAACAACGCTGGAATCATCCGGCGAGAAGCAAACCCGCCCCCATAGGTAAGATGCAAAGAAAGACCGCATTCCGTCCAAATCTGCAGACCTGTAATGCCAAACACGACGGCAACCTGCAGAACGCAACCGCGAGGGGAGCGTGAGTGGCACCACACTCCGGATCAGACAATGGTCCGAAGAGCCCAGAGGGGCATCGACGGAGACCTGATATCCGTCCGGATGAGAGGTCAGCAGAAGGTCCAACAGGGAAGGTGTATGATCCTCAACATCTGGAATCCGCGTAGGCGAAGTAACCAGTTGTGTCAGACCATATGCCAAGGCAAAGTCATAAACAGATCTCCCCGCCTGATCGGTTAAACTTGAACCGAGCCATTCGGCGTGGTGGGCGTTTAAATCGCCAAGAATCACGATCTCTGCGGATGGGACTTGTTGTAGCAAGGAATCTGTAGCCATTTGGACGTAGTCGATGAGGCGGTCTGTTTCGGCATTACCGCTATGGGACCTATAGAGGCACCCGTAGACGCGCGGATGGTCGTCGCTGTCTATGCGTAGCCAAAGGATGGACAGGTCCGAACCTTCAAGACTGCCGAGGCGTCGAGAACAGATGTCCTCTCTGACATACACGCAAACTCCAGCCGGAGGCAAAAAGGAGTGCTCCAATTTGTACCCCGGGTAGGAGAGATATGAAGTATCAGCCGGAGAGGACACCTGCGTCTCGGTCAGAAAGAGCAAGGCCGGCTTCGCCGTCTCAAGATGGTAGTGGACGGCGTTTAGGTTCGAGTGAAGTCCCCTGATGTTGCAGAAATTCACGGATAGCGTGGCAAGGGTCGCCTTGGTCTTGTTGCTCAGTTTGCCCCGAGCAGTTATTGTGTTGAGCGGAATTTTGCCCCCCCCCCCTCCCCCCAGAATACGCGGGGCAGCCTGAGCACCCACGCTCATGAGTGGAATAGTATGGTCGTGGATGCTCAGCGAGGGATTCTCCAGGGGTGCTGGTACCATCCTGGGGTAGTCTTTCGTATAATTCCGCTACCATGTTATTGGGGGGGGGGGGGGGGGGGATTGGGCCTCCAGCCACCTGCACTCACCAGACGAAACGCAGAAGCAGAGCTTCTACTTCACGGCGGTATTCTGTGAGGTCGTGGTACCAACCCGGCTCGAGCCGGCCCATACGTGCAACAGCAAAAACTGCCGCGTGGCTCTACCACCGTTAAAGTTTCATGTTTCCCCTAATAAAATAAAATTTATTTAAATGAATATTGTAAACTATTTAAAACATGTTTTCTACAGAATAGAAAAAAAGTTTGAAGCATAATATCATGATTTATGTACTTAGTCAATATTTGATTACCGTTTTGTATATTTTTTTTTGGTAATAAGTAGTTATTTAAAACTTTTTTTAATTACTGTTACTAAATATACTTCATACGTTGTTTACTTTACTAAGCTACCATTCATGTTTACGAAGTCGTAGATATTAATATTTTATTTACCAATCTGTTTTCATAATATATTTCTTGAATGTTGTGAAATTTATTTTTATGAAAATTTTTAAAATAAATAAAAAAGAATACAAAAAACGTAAAATAACCAGTACCGGTGACGGGAAGCAGCGACAACTGTGCAAAACGTCTGTTATTGCGATCGTCAATGATCCGCCAAGTATGACGAGATTAGTATCCATACTTGCTGTGTACTTCTATAGTTTGTTGATGAGGAAGAAGCCATCATTATGTTTTTTACTCACATATTACGATTCTGCCCTTGGGCTTTGTAGACTCTGGACGTGTCTGTCTATTTCACTCCCGTCACTCCACTTCCTTAGCTCTGTTTCTGTAAGATTTACAATCGTTACACCGCCTTGCTTTCTTGCTTGGTGGTCTGTGTTTTGTTGCTGCCTTGGTGTTCTCACTGTTTTGCGCGAATCACGCTGTCCTGGGATATAACAGTCTCATTGTATTGTTATAAAGTTTATCGGACGCTTGTTGTGGTGCAAAGTGTGTTTGTGCGTAGTTCTCCTTCCTGGCTTCCTTTTATCGGTAACCGTAAGTAGAGTGAAACACACCCACCGCCTCAGAGGCGGCCATAGCTTATAATTTTTGTGTTGCTTATTGCACTAGGCAACAGCTTGGTATACACCCTAGCGTACCAATGCGCTAGGTGTATAATTGTTCGTTTTAGACACACACCTTGGTACACATCTGTGCTTGTCTTAGCATAGTTCAATTTCAATTTTCAATTTAGTTTATTTATCTCTTCACAACTTATTGCCTGGTTAACAATATCAATGTACACAGTAAGGACCTAGCGTTGTGAGAGACTGGTGCCTATTTTTTATATTTTTTATAGATTTTATATTCAAAACCTGGGTTACAGGTCACCAGCCCCCCCTCGCGAATAGGTTACATCATATAATACAAAGAAATAATACAGAGAGGAATTTATCATAAAAGAGATTATAAAAAGTTATATAATAAGGCGAATTGCTGAATCCGTTTAATGGATATGGACGTGTATAGGTGAGTATATGAAAGCGTGTATGTATAGGTTTATATGTATTTGCGCGCGTGTGCATGTGCGTCTGCGCGCGCGTGCATGTGTGTACGCGTGTGTGTATGTATATATATATTTATATATACTTACTTACTTACTTATCTTCACGCACAATCCCTGACGGGGTAGCCAGAGAGAACAGATCGCCAAGTGTCACGATCCTTACATACCTCTTTCGCTTCTTTGTAGTGTTATGCTACTTACATATCATTTTACATTATTTTAAATTCATTTTTCCATTCTGTTTCTATTTTTTGCATTCACTTCAAAACTGGATATTTTACATCACCTTTATTTCCATAGGATCCTGTAACGATTTTAAACCATAAGAACACAATAACAAATCATTTCTACTTCGTATTTTCACATTATCAGCACTTTTAAATTGGTGTCAATGGAGTCTACCTTTTTTTGATCTTTTAGTTAGTTTTCCGTAACTCTACAATCTCGGGCTTTGTGTGGGCAGTTGCGCTACCCTTTTTCCTATATCAATAATATCTCATTTTCCACTTAAATCTTGCCGTTTTCTTATTACAAGCCTAAAACCAAAATTTGACATGTTTTGACATTGTTGTTTATTTGGTCTCCATAGCAATTATATTCAAATTTGCTACCGGTCTGTTGTTTCTATTTCGATAATTCCACATAAATACTCTTTTCTCTTGACCATTTACAAAAAATTTGCGTTTAATTTAAATAATTTTTCCGTTCTCTCTAGAAAGGTATAAAAGCCGAACAATCGGTGAAGAAAGGCAGTCTCGCTTCAGTTCTCAAATTGGAAGCATCTCCTAAAGGCCTTATCCCAGGGCCGCACTGCCCCGGGATCCTGCAAGCCTCTGTCCTGCCGGAAGCCACTGGACTCTACGAACTTCTGCTCTATCTGAAGTCGCTGGACTCTACAAACCGTTTCTCTGCCTGAAGTCGCCGGGAACCTACAAGTCTCTGCTCTACCTGGAGTCGCCGGAACCTGCAAAACCTCAGTTCCGCCTGAAGTCACCGGAACCTGCAAACCTCTGTCCCGCCTGCAGTCACCGGATCCTGCAGGCTTCTGTGTTGTCTGAAGCCGCTGAGGATCCTGCAAGCCCCTGTCTGGCCTGAAATCGCCGGATCCTGCAATTACCACATTCACCGGAGGTCGTCGCCTAGAGACGCCCACGCCTTCTCACCTACGCCGTGCGTGCTCGTTCCAGGCGCTGAGAGCACACCTTGGATCTTCAGACTCAGCTTCGGCACTAATCTCTTTTTTTTATTACTTTTTTTTAAATAATCTGTAAATCGCATCATCCATCCTCATATTCATACTCCATTTTTGTATAAAATTGTAAATATCTTTGAATCTTAAATATATTTTTTGTTTTTGTTGTATTTTTGTTGTTTTGTTGTTCTTAGGTTAGATTCTTTTTGTTTTTTATTGTCGCTTCACGACATCTTTCAGATTCATTATCTTCTTCATGCATGCACGTCTAAGTATCTCGTGCCCCGTCAAAACAGCCCCGACAAAACAGCCCCCGACAAAACAGCCCCGACAAAATAGCCCACCGACAAAACAGCCACCGTCAAAACAGCCCCCGACAAAACAGCCCAAGTCAAAATAAATACCATACATATCTATAGAATTTATAACTATACTTATACCGTGTATCTACTTCAGTTGGCGATATATGGGAAACTTTTCTATTGTGAGTTTTAGCAAGAAATTATTCCTTATAAAAATTTATACTTTACAATTTGTTCATTCCAACTATTGCAAATGTATCTGAATAATGTTTCCTACAAATGATATCAAATTTAAAATTGTAAGTGGTGTAAAACGAATGTTAATACTTTACGTGACTTTTTTTGGTTCATTTTATGTATTTTTTGTTTTCAACAAAACTATTGCATCGTCTACACACGAAATAAAAACAAAAATAAATGTAGGTATAAAATTATATTATAATGTATATTTACAAACAAAATTCTGCAAACTATATTCGTCAAAGGTTATTAATTACAAAGGTTACAATTATTAATAATTATTATAAAATAAAAATAAATGAAGTTATATAATAATATATCAATTTATAATGTCAGATTGTTGGAAATTCGGATACGGTAAAAGGTCGTCGTTGTTATAATTTCCCATAAGAGTTTCCAATCGACGATTAAGTTGCACATACTTCTTTTTGGAAGCTTCGGGATTTCTGAAGCCGGCTCGAAAACGTTCCAACTCTATTTCTACCCGGTCTTGTTCCTTCCTGAAGTGGTCTATTAATTAGAAAATACATGGATGGTGACAGTCAACGGTGTGTTGGAAAGCATGATGCCATCCTTCTACAGAGTTGTTTGTACGCGGAAGGCCCTGGTGCACTCTATCATGAACATTCCATACATGAATAGGAAATTTTGGATCTGCTCTCCGATTTCTTCTTTGCCGTCCTATATAAGTATCTTCCCAGTAATCGATGACTGCATCAATTTCTCGTGGACAGCTTTCGGTTAGCTCCTCAAAAGCAGTGATTACGTCGCCCTCTTGGATAAAAGATAACGCTAGTAACATTTTCAAATGCATTCTCACATTTTCGTCATTGCGATATTCTTCTACAAGATGTAGCTCTTGGATTTTCCTCCATAAACACTGCCCTAAGTGGAATAAACAACCCATCACCTGAACACCATGAAATACCTGGCAAACTGCATTTTGGATCGCTTTCTCGAAGTCGGATAAGCAGCTTATTGGATTTAAAGTGGGTTTCAACTCCATCAATTTTTGAAACACTCGAACATATGTTTCTTCTCGTTTATCCTGTAGAAGCACGTAAATCAACGGAATAGAACGGTTATCTACCAATGCATGAATGGTAAATACTTGTAAAAATAATTGTGGGGCTACTTTAAAGGTTCCATCTACGTGCCAGTGCCAGTGCTCCTCTAAAACTTCCAAATTTTCTTCAGTACCAAACATGAAGATGCGATGAGGATCATTCTATCCAGAATCCCATAACAAGAAATTTAGATTTCTTGAAGTGATTTGTAATGCAACAGGAATATTAATATCGGCAACAGAGCCTGGGTTTGGGCACGACACTTCACGCCTTTGCCGATTACGCTCAACAGTTCTCTGAGATGCATTGTACGATGGCAAATGGACTGATGCTTCCAAATTTATCCCTCTTGTCGATCCTTGAATCAACTGCCTTGGTTTCTCAAGGGTGTCCGCTGCTCGCCTTTCATATTAGACACAGATTTTTTTGCTTCATTTTTAGCTGGATCTGGAGCATGACTGTGTCGAGTCACATTTACCACGACATTTTCCAATGACACTTTGAAACGTCCTCGGCAAGGTGTCTCGGCGCATCTCCATGATACACTGCCATCGGTATTAGTTCTCGCCTTACGATACCGGTACCCATCGCTCAACAGTAAATCTTTGCCTTTCTGCGATTGAATAAGTTCCATGATCTTCACCAGACAAAATTCTACAAGACTATAGTTATTTTGTGTGTCCCGATGTTCTTATATATTACTGCTAACGGCCGAAACGTAAATCCCCCCTTCTTGGAACCTACTCATAATAGGTATAGTCCGTTCATCGGTTTAAGAAACTAAGTTTTCTTTTACGGGGGATTATCCCCTTACCTGGTGCTGCAATTATATAACAAATAAGTAATTTATTAACACTTCCCATGTATTTCTAAATGACCCATACTCGTTCAATAGCAATAAGAGGATTATCGCCGCAAGAGGTACAATAGGCATTGTAAACACATTACAAATTACTTTGTATTTCTAAATGACCCATACTCGTTCAATAGCAATAAGAGGATTATCGCCGCAAGAGGTACAATAGGCATTGTAAACACATTACAAATTACTTTCTTAAAGCGATGAACGGACTATAAGTTATTATAACATTTATTCAAATCTGCTAATCGGCTGAAACGTAAATCGCCCCTTCTTGGAACCTACTCATAATAGGTAAGTTAATTAAATTGAAAGCTGAATATAAAATTCCACAATATATTCACAGAAATAATTATTATTATTATATTATATTTTCATTATGTAATATACTCTGAAGATAAAAAGCACGATTATCAATGCAACTAGCAAAGTTATAATATTATACTACCTGTTTACGGGCTGTTTTGTCGGGGGCTGTTTTGACGGGGGCTGTTTTGTCGGTGAGCTGTTTTGTCGGGGCTGTTTTGTCGGGGCTATTCTGTCCGGGGCTGTTATGTCGGGGAACCTTCTTCTGGCATACCCAGGTTTCGCTGCCATATAACAAAGTCGGTACCAACACTGCGTTATGTATTGCAAGGCGTGCACTCTTCGCTACGCCTTGCCTTTTGACTAACGCAGGCAGGGCACCATTGACTTTGTTCCCGGCAGCGACACGTCTGTCAACATCTAAATCACATCTTCCATCCCGGCTAAAAGCACTCCCCAAGTATACAATTTCATTTACCTGTTCTAGACATTCCTGATTTACCCATATTTCACACTTCGTTCTCTCTTCGTCCCTTTCAAATACCAGAACCTTAGTTTTATTAGCATTCAAACGGAGACCTTTAATTTCACATTCCTCTTTCATACACGTGACTAATGCCTGCAGTTCTGCCTCTGATGGTGCAATAAGCACTGCATCATCAGCATACAGCAGACAATTTACTTTAATGTCACCCAATTTCACACCCAAACAACTATCTTTCAGCTTCTGTAAACAGCTGTCGAGATACAGTATGAACAGCCAGGAAGACATGACACAACCTTGCTTTACGCCCGTTTGGACGTTAAACATGGGTGACAGGTCATGCCCTACCCGCACACAGGCTTTACAGTCACAGTAAAGAGACTGCACAGCCCTTAGCAATTGACCATCCACACCATACCCCGGCAACAGTTACAACCTTATCAAATGCTTTCTCAAGATCCACAAAAGCACAGAAAATCTTCTGGTTAGCAGCCAGAAGCTTTTCCGCGATCATGCGGAGAGAAAACATTTGATCCGTGCATCCTCTTCCAGGTCTAAATCCGCATTGTGCCTCCCATAGAAATCTTTCCGATTTCTCTTGCATCCTACGTGTCAAAACCTTCGAGTAAACTTTACTTGCTAAACTGGTCAAGTTTATCGCCCGATAGCACCCGCAGTCAAAATATGAACCTTTACCTTTATATAAAGGCACAATGGCTGCGGATCGCCAATCATCCGGGACATCCCCCGTCCGCCAGCACAAATTGCACAGCAGACGAATACTGTCCCAGACGCGAGGCCCACCATACTTGACCATTTCAGCAGTAACTCTGTCTAGTCCCGCAGCCTTACCACATTTCAAACTTCGAATCGCACGTTCAATCTCTTTCATACTGATGACCTCAGTGTCATCCAGGGCCGGGTCTGGCGTACCAGTCACGGCGTCATCCCCGGATCCCTCACTAAGATCATCACACGCATACATTTCTCTATAAAATTCGCTCCATCGCTGCATGACGTCCGATTTTTCTGATAGGACGTCATTAGTTCTCGAAAGCACTTTGTTCATTCTTAAGGCCGTCGCACCACTTCGGGCCCTTCCAGCCTCTTTCCAGAAGAGTTTGGAGTTCTCCTTAAAGTTGTGCGACAACCTTTCGTCCGCTTCCATTCTACACCTTTCACGCACTTCTTCAATCAGTGCTTTCGTGTGAACTTACTGCAGCCTATATCTTTCTTTCATCTTCTCTCTCATATCCTTATCATTACTAGAGGCCAAGTAGTCTAACCATGCTTTCTTCTTCTTCTTTACAGCTTCTTTCACTTCATCATTCCACCATGCATCTTTTCTTTTACTACTGCCTCTTTTTATTGTTCCACACACTTCTTTCGCTGCACTTACCATTCCATCCCTAAGGTTCTGCCATGTTCTTTCTACACATTCTTTTCTGCCATCGATGGTGTCAAGCTTTTCGGCTACCCTCGCATGATATATGTCCCTAGTATCCGCTTCCTGAAGCTTCCAGCTTCGGATGCGACAGACCGACTGTGGTTCTGTTACTGCCGTCCGGTAGCGTCAACCCGCGAACAGACCCCTAAATCTAGTAATCACTAGATAGTGATCCGTTCCCAGGTCAGCACCCCTGAACACTCGCGTATCCATCACCTGTTTTCGCAGTCGGTCATCCACCAGGAACAAATCGATCATACTTCTCTCATTCTTTCGTTCTCTAGTATACATATGGATTTTCTTGTGATTAAACATAGTGTTTGTCACAAGAAGACCCTTTTCCTTGCACACCGCCAGTATAGGCTTGCCAGCATCATTAACCCTTTTATCGCCAAACTTTCCAAGTACCGACTCGTACCCTGGTCGAGCGGTACCAACCCATCCATTCAAATCACCACATACAACAATTCTTTCGTTTCCCCTAGCCAAATCTAGAACTTCTCTTACATTCTCCCAAAACTCCTCCAACTCAGCCCTAGAAGACGAAGCTACCGGTGCATAAACAGCCAAAAGGAATAACTTCGTCAGTCCCAATTTAAAGCAAACCCAGAGAAGTCTTGAGTTCACAACCTTATATTCAGTCATAACATCGACCAACCGAGAAGACAGCAGCACCCCTACTCCCTGGCAGGCGTTCTCGCTCTCCGGGACTCCGGACCATAGAGCTAACGCCCCGCCAGGGAGCTCTTCAGTACCACTGCCCTTCCGCTTGGTCTCCGACATACACACGACATCTAATTCTCTTTCTTTCATTATTTCGATCAACTCATTCGTCTTATCTCTCATGCCTCCTTTAACATTCCACGTGCCAACTCTGCACTCTGTCCTCCACCTTCCGCCGTGTCGGGCTGTGCGTGACGGGTGGCGGTCCCCATCGCCGCTTTGCGCGCTGCATTTCACACCAACGGGGACGAGCTGGTGTGCGTCGCCTTGGGGGGACGCCCTAACCCTCGTTGGCATGGGTGCGCAGCTAGTAGAATTGCAGCCCTGAAAAGGACTGGCAGGGGTCGCGACGAGCACGCTTCTACAATGACCCCCATATATACATATATATATATATATATATATATATATATATAGAGAGAGGTTTTTAGAGATAGTGATAAGAGTGATTTACGTTTCTGAGTAAATTAAATGTATTAGTATTGGGTTAAAAGGAGATTCTCAGTTTCTTGGTAGTTAAGGATTTTTAGGAATTTTCTTAATATTATTTTAAAACTAGATTTATTTTTGGGACATTCTAAAATTTTATTTAATTTGTTATAAATAAAAGGCCCCAAGAAGCAGAAAAACTTATGTGAAAGAGCTGAGTTGAAAGTTAGAGTTTTACATATTATATCATTGCGGCGTTTATTTTGAAAAAGATTTGGGTTATAACGTAGATGAGAGTGTTGTTTAAACATGATATGCAGAATGAAAGTTTGTCTAACCGTCAGTACATCTCATTTTTTATACAGCTCTATTAAATCCTAATTGAGCATTCGTAAAAACATTATCCCAAGAATCATCAACGAAAAAAGGGGCAGTATCACGCATAGGTGATTATTTTTCCATTACAAAGTTGAAGCTGACATAGGTCATTAATATACACCAAGAAGAGTGTCGAACCGAGAATGCAACCTTGAGGCACACCGAATTTGACAGGTAACTCGTCACTTACTGTATAATGATATACACGATATCGCTGCCCTTCTATCGGTTAAATGATCTTCCATCAATTTTAGTGGAATATCCCTTATACCGGCCCTTTCCAGTTTTTTTAGCAGATGACGAATAGAGACTGTGTCAAAAGCTTAAAACAAATCAAGGAACATTGTTAAACACATGCTTCTTTTATCTAAATTGAAAATTGTCGAGTTAAATAGTTCATGAACAGCATCATCAGTAGTCTTGCCGCGTCGGAAACCAAATTGGTTGGGTGAAATAAAATTATTTGACTCCAAAAAGCTAACCAATCTTTGATTGACTAGTCGTTCCAAATTTTTTGAAAAGGTCGGCAAAATAGAGATCGAACGATAATTATCGACAGAATCTCTATCGCTTCCCTTAAAAACGGGTGTTATAAGGGCTGTTTTATTGTTGCATATTCGTAAGATTGGGGGTGTTAGTATGTTTAAATACCTCTTGATAATTTTTCCGGAGATCAGATCACTTCCAGCAACACAGTTGTCTTTTAACCCCCAATAAGCTGGGAGATTTCTGCTTCATCGGCAGAAGGCATAACAAATGAGTTAAAAGAGGTCTTACTTAAGAGAGGAGAAAAATGATCATCCGGTTCTGCTAATTGTCGGTTTGTAGAAATAATTTGCTTGGCCAGTCTTGATCCCACATTGACAAAATAACTGTTGATATTATTTACACTCTCCTTTCTCTCTTAAGGATTGACGGAAGATATCTGAAAAGAGGATTGATCAGGTGTGTTACACCGGCTAATTTTCTTTATAACTGCCCACAGTTTCTTATTGTTGCCTTTAGAATTTTGTATCTCTTGTTTTTCGTAGCTTCGTTTCGCTTTTTTTAATAACGTATTACAAAAATTCATGTAACGTTTGTAAGTAATTCTAATATTATCGTCCGTAGGACATTTTAATATTTTTATAGAGGTTGTCTCTATTACTCATACAGCGAAGAAGACCTTTGGTTATCCACAACTTATTAATTCTTTGTCTAATGGGAGTTTCAACCAACCTAGCGTTGCTTGTAATGGCACTATATAAATATGATACGAGAGTATTACGAGGTTGCTAAGTTAGCATCAGTACTTTCAGTAATTGGCCGGAAGTTTATAGTAGATATAGATTTATCTAGTCCCGCAAAATCAATTTTGTATTTTTTATTCAATTGCGAAGAGTAGGTGCTTTGATTGAGACTGACAGCTACGCTCTCATGGTCAGTAATTGATGATTCAAAAACAAAACAGGTAGCTTCCAGATTGGTTTCAATCATAATATGATCTAAACATGTTCGTCCATGGGTGGGTACAGTATGGCCAGGTAGAATGCAATGACTTGCTAGTAAGTTTAGATAATCATGCGAGCGCTTATCAGGGGTATTAAAGATTATATCTATATTAATATCATCACAAATAATGATATTTTTATAGCTACTAAGTTTTAAAAGAAGTAAGTCCAAAGAGTTAACAAAATCTATGTTATATGTTAGTTTTACTTGGCGACGGAGGATTTACCAATAATGCAAGTATCTGAATTTAATTTTAGTAAGAGGCAGTTTGCATCACTTACTTGAGGTTCCTCATAAGTCACGTTAATATTTTTATTGTAATATATTACAACTCCCTCATTTTGAGAATTATGAAAAGTTGTTGCTATAACAAGATAATTCTCAAGTTCAGGAATTTGCCTCGTTGAAGAAAGCCAACATTCTGTTAGGACTATAATATCCCAGGATATTTCTGATCGGTGTTGAAGTGTGATTAAAGTGGGCATGTTGCAGTTAATGTTACATATATTTTGACACAAAAGATTTACATAAAAGCAGCCCAATGATGAGGAAGACCAAGAAGAGCTCTACCTTTCACATAGCGATAACCAAACTTTAAACGATCAAGAGTCTCGTCACGGTGTCGCCCGAGACTAAATCCTAAAGCCGACACCAACCATTCCTTCCTCATATCCAAGGACCACACGGATAACCAGCCCCAAGCAAGTGTCCGACAATCCAAGAACCACACGGGTAACCAGCCCCAAGCAAGTGTCCGACAATCCAAGGACCGCACGGGTAACCAGCCCCAAGCAAGCGTCCGACAATCCAAGGATCACACGTGTAACCAGCCCCAAGCAAGTGTCCTACAATCCAAGGACCACACGGGTAACCGGCCCCAAACAAGTGTCTGACAATCCAAGAACCACACGGGTAACCAGCCCCAAGCAAGTGTCCGACAATCCAAGGACCACACGGGTAACCAGCCCCAAGCAAGTGTCCGACAATCCAAGAACCACACGGGTAACCAGCCCCAAGCAAGTGTCCGACAATCCAAGGACCGCACGGGTAACCAGCCCCAAGCAAGCGTCCGACAATCCAAGGATCACACGTGTAACCAGCCCCAAGCAAGTGTCCTACAATCCAAGGACCACACGGGTAACCAGTCCCAAGCAAGTGTCCGACTATCCAAGGACCACACGGGTAACCGGCCCCAAACAAGTGTCTGACAATCCAAGAACCACACGGGTAACCAGCCCCAAGCAAGTGTCCGACAATCCAAGGACCACACGGGTAACCAGCCCCAAGCAAGTGTCCGACAATCCAAGAACCACACGGGTAACCAGCCCCAAGCAAGTGTCCGACAATCCAAGGACCACACGGGTAACCAGCCCCAAGCAAGCGTCCGACAATCCAAGGACCACACGGGTAACCAGCCCCAAGCAAGTGTCCGACAATCCAAGAACCACACGGGTAACCAGCCCCAAGCAAGTGTCCGACAATCCAAGGACCACACGGGTAATCAGCCCCAAGCAAGCGTCCGACAATCCAAGCACTACACGTGTAACCAGCCCCAAGCAAGTGTCCTACAATCCAAGGACCACACGGGTAACCAGCCCCAAGCAAGTGTCCGACAATCCAAGGATCACACGTGTAACCAGCCCCAAGCAAGTGTCCTACAATCCAAGGACCACACGGGTAACCAGTCCCAAGCAAGTGTCCGACTATCCAAGGACCACACGGGTAACCGGCCCCAAACAAGTGTCTGACAATCCAAGAACCACACGGGTAACCAGCCCCAAGCAAGTGTCCGACAATCCAAGGACCACACGGGTAACCAGCCCCAAGCAAGTGTCCGACAATCCAAGAACCACACGGGTAACCAGCCCCAAGCAAGTGTCCGACAATCCAAGGACCACACGGGTAACCAGCCCCAAGCAAGCGTCCGACAATCCAAGGACCACACGGGTAACCAGCCCCAAGCAAGTGTCCGACAATCCAAGAACCACACGGGTAACCAGCCCCAAGCAAGTGTCCGACAATCCAAGGACCACACGGGTAATCAGCCCCAAGCAAGCGTCCGACAATCCAAGCACTACACGTGTAACCAGCCCCAAGCAAGTGTCCTACAATCCAAGGACCACACGGGTAACCAGCCCCAAGCAAGTGTCCGACTATCCAAGGACCACACGGGTAACCAGCCCCAAGCAAGTGTCCGACAATCCAAGGACCATACGGGTAACCAGCCCCAAGTAAGCGTTCAGTCATCCAAGATCCATAACTTGAAAGTTCCCTCTCCAAAAACCAAAATCGAAATTTACGAGATTAATCTAGATACTACCCAAAGGTTGTTACCACATGTCCTGCTCGATTCATCCGTCACGGATATCCCACTGTCTTTGCTTATCGACTCAGGATCTGCCGTATGTTTACTAAAATAGTCTAGTATTCAGAAAAATCCCAAACTCATAAAAGAACCTATCAAACTTAAGATCATAGACCGGGGCGATGAATCTACAACCACCGAGGGCCATTTTTCATTGAAATTAATATTAAATAAAATACACCCGCGTCATATAAATGCCATGTCATTAAAAATGTCAACTTGCCATATGACGGTATAATAGGCTCCGACTTCCTAACCGCGTTTGGCTGTAAAATTGATTACACAATGATACCCTCAAGATCGGTAAATTAGAAATAAAATTACACTTCATTGATCCATTCTATATCATTCCACCACGCACTGAAACTGTCACTGAATGATCGGTTTGCGATACTAATCTCAAAGAAGGCCTCATTACTGATCAACACATATCAGAAAATTTACTTATATCCAATTGCATTGTAAAAGTCAAAGAAAATAAACGCGTTAATTTAAGTATAGCTAATACTTCAGAGTTTCCGGTGAACCTAAATCCAAATTTAAATCTTAAAATTACACCTCTACACTCTGACGCCTTTCAGGTGAACACGAACATCTGTAACACGGCTAAAAGAACAAACGATGTAATAAACTCATTAAGAATAGAACATCTAAACCAAGAAGAGTCCAACGCCCTCTTTGAACTTTGTTCCCGGTATTCCGACATTTTTCATCTGCCCGATGATCAACTAACTTATACATCCGCCCTTAACCACCAAATCAAAACGAGCAGCGAGACGCCCATCCATACTAAAACGTATAGGCTTCCAGAATGTCGTAAAAAAGAAGTCGAGACCCATATCAACAAGATGCTCAACCAGGGCATAATAGAACCCTCATCTTCACCTTGGAGCTCTCCAATTTGGATTGTGCCTAAGAAATTAGACTCTCAGGGACAACGTAAATGGCGAATAGTAATTGATTATCGCAAACTTAAGGATATCACTATTGGCGAAACCTATCCTATTCCACAAATTTCTGAAATCCTAGACCAGCTGGGTAATAGAAAATATTTCTCGACCTTGGACTTGCTAATCAAAGGTGAAGATGCACCTAAAACAGCATTTTCCGTACTTCAGAGGCATTTCCAATTCAATAGGATGCCTTTTGGCCTAAAAAACGCTCCGTCCACCTTTCAGAAGATAATGAATGCATGCCTATCAGGACTCCAAGGTTCACGATGTTTCGTATATTTATACGACATCGTTATTTACTCTTTTAATCTCACTTTTCATATAGATAACCTCAATGCTGTATTTAACAGACTCAGAAGTTATAATCTCAAGTTGCAACCTGAAAAATGCGAATTCCTTCGTAAAGAAGTGATTTATCTAGGCCATATAATCGATGAACATGGTTTTAAACCCAATCCCGAAAAGGTGAGGGCAGTCACTGAATTCCCAGTTCCAAAATCATCCAAAGACATTATATCCTTCCTAGGATTAGTATCCTACTACAGACGATCTATCCCCGATTTTTCTAAATATGCCAAATCTCTTACGCCACTTTTAAAAAGGATGTCCCTTTTGAATGGAAGAATGAATAATAGCTTTCCTTTGAGACGTTAAAAGGTAAACTCGTTACAGCGCCAGTCCTTGCATATCCGGACTTTAAAAACCTTTCCTCTTGACATGCGATGCGTCAAACTATGCCATCTCTGCTATACTCTCTCAAGGTCTAGTAGGACAAGATTGACCTATTGCTTTTGCCTCGCGCACACTTAATAAAGCAAAGAGTAACTACAGCGTAAGCGAAAAAGCGTGCCTTGCGATAGTGTTCGGTATCAAAACATTTCGTCCTTATCTATATGGCAACCGATTCACAATAATGACGGACCATAAGCCTTTCCAGTGGCTTTTTAATTGTAAAGACTCTGGTTCCCACATTGTCCGATGGCGACTTAAATTGGAAGAATTTGAGTATGATATACATTATAAAAAGGGCAAAACTAACACAAACGCTGACGCGTTGTCACGATTTCCTGTGAACCTGGTCCAACCTATAGATCCATCAATGTCCAATCCTCCTATAACGGACTCGGATCAAAATCTAGACAAAGATCTTATGGACTTACTCATTTCTCCACCTTCCTTCAATCCGGACGAAGCAATCTCTCCTCCATTGGATTTAGCTGAAGAAGCTTCCCCATTACCCTATGTTGATTTACCTTCCAATATTCCAGATACCCTAAGGGAAGAAATCGAAAATGAACCTATTAACTTACCTTAACCAGAACCTGAACAGCCAACACCACCTGAAATTCAAACCGATAATGTCTCATTTCCATCCACGAGTTCATCCCCAGACGTACCTGTCGATGATTACCCTACCTTCCTTAAATCCATGTCATGTAAAGATAAAACTTTTAACACAGAAGTAGAAGAACACAACGAAACTCTTATGAAATGTCCCGCGAAGGTAATCCTAGTCCCAACATCTATCGATTTAGATAAATCTAACCCTTACATTCAAGAAATATTAACTGACCCTGAAATTATCGCTGACATACAGGAGTCCGAGAAAGAACTCTTCTTCTTTAAAAAGATAGAAACAAATAATAAATGTTATTACTTATTGTTCACCAAGGTACATCATTTTGATGAGGCCTCCTATCCAGAAATTTTCCAAACGTTATAAAAAATCAGAAATGAATTGACAACTTCCGGAGAAATTAAAGAACTCACTCATTCATTAAAATACGAGTATATAATATTCTATTTATCTCTTTCATGATACTCGAATTAAAATTAATATATACCATAACAATATTATATACCCAGCTCCAACAGAAATTAAGAAAATTCTTTTTGAAAACCATGATATTCCGATAGCCGGTCATTTAGGCTCTGTAAGAATGTACAACAGGATAAAACAATCGTATTATTGGAAAGGTATGCGAAGCGATATAGAGTCATATGTAAAGCAATGTAAATCATGTCAGGAAAATAAAGCGCTTAGGAAAATCAACCGTGCTCCAATGCAGATCACCAGTACATCTGCATTATACTGCATTATATACTGCATTATATATCAATCTTTGGCATTCCTAAGATGATCCTCACCGACCAAGGGATTAATTTTACTTCAGACCTATTTAGGAAAGCCTGTGAATTCCTTAAAATAAAAAACTTATGGTCTTCACCATACCACCCTCAAACTCAAGGCTCCCTAGAGTGGAGTCATTCAACCTTTAATACCTGAAATCTTATATTAATGAAGAACAGTCCAATTGGCCTCGTTATGTGTACACCGCCATGCTTGCTTACGAGTATAACACATCCGTTCACTCTACTATACATTACACACCTCACGAGTTTATGTTTGGGAGTAAACCATACATTCCTAATTCCATTTATAACGAATCTCTAGGGGCTACTTACCCTGATTATGTCCGCATGTTGCAAAACCGGTTGAAACACTCCAGAGAGAAGGCCTTAGATTTTATAAGGAAGTCAAAGGTATCCTCAAAATCAAACTATGACACCCATACTCGACCAGTTAAATATAAAGTCGGCGCGTGTAAAATATAATATATGCGGCCCCTATAAAATAGTTAAAGTACATAGTAATAATACACTTACCCTACTAATCAATCGACGCCATGTCACGCATCACTTCGATTAGGTGAAACCTGCATCAGAAATCGGAAGTAACCTGTAAAATAAATAAAATTTAGTAGAGGACTAATGTCTGGAAAGTTAATAATACTTACCTATAAGCATAGTTTCGCCATCTGAAAAAAAAATAGTTAATAAAAAAAATATAGTTATAAAAAATAGGCCAATCAATACTTACCTTTCAAAAAGAAAAACATAGTTATTAAAATATATATATTTATAGGTTAGTCAATACTTACCTCTGTCTAGTATTAATTATAGTAATTATTTACAGAACTCCGACTCGAGGTCAATCGCATCAAGATTATATTCAACAAATAACTTCGAGTGCAGGCATCCACTTTGATTATTTAGGTACATTAAAAATTAATAAAGCCAACTTGAAAACGTTAATTCCGATAGATATTTCACACTTTGGCCTCCACATAAGAAATATAGGAAACACGTTAGATATAATTAAAATTCTATTTGACCAAACTAGGACTCTAGAGATTATTGCCGAATGTCACAATATGCTTCAACTACTAGCAGTACGTAACCAGGACTTGAACAAGGACTTTAAATCCATCTCACACTTATTAGATAACAGAGCCAAGCGTAGCGCTTGATATGGAGGTATAGGTACAATGTTAAAACATATTTTTGGTACTCTAGATGAAGATGACGCTCTAAAGTATGAAGAAGCAATAGAATCTGTACAAAACGATAAAAAACAACTTTAATGAAAGAAAACATTTTGGTTACTACCTCTGTAATAACTTATTATAACGATACATTAAATAAAATAAAAAACAACGAAGCAAAATTAACTGTAGCTATCGACAATCTCTCTATTAGAATTAAAAACATTTCTGAAATAACTAATGGTCTACAAATATCTGCTAACATTAATGAAATTTTTGACAGTTTAGAAACTTCAATTCTTACATTATCTTTCCAATTAGAAGATATAATAAATGCTATTTTGTTTAGCAGTAAGGATATTTTACATCCAGCCGTTATAACGCCACAACAGTTATACCGAGAACTTGCCAATAACTATAGGTAATTTTAAGACTTTAATTTTAAGACTTTATAAGATTACTTGCTACTCGTATTATATAAATAATAAAATCATATTTTTGTTGCAAGTGCCATTGGTAAATGTAGAAAGTTATATGTTATTTCATAACATAGTTCTACCTACACCATATAACGCAAAGGAACCAAATTCATTTAGTTTAATTGTACCTAATAATAAATATATTGCAATGACCAAAGATAAAACACATTACTGCAATATTGACGACTTAGGGAAGTGTAAAATTGTGCAACCAGGAACATTCATCTGTGACGTAAATAACGTATATTCGGTGGACGCTAAACCATCCTGTGGAAGTGAGCTTATATCTAAAGTGATCATTGAAATCCCGTTACAGTGCGAAACCAAATTTATCTTTGGAAAATTAGATATCTGGAAACCATTAATGAATAATAAATGGATTTATATTCACTCCGACCCAAATAAAATTTCTATAGATTGTATTAAGTCTCAAGTATTTGAAACAAATATTCTGGGCACAGGCATTATTATAATTCCTGATGGTTGTACTGGATTTTGTAAAAGCACTACATTGTTACCTATATATAATGTTCTAAATATTACATCACCCATAAATTATATGCCCGATTATAACCTCATCAATGACACTTGTTGTAATATTAATAAGTTCAACCATGTTGTAGAAAATGTGTCTCCTATTAAGTTACAAAATGTTATTTAGATGAATTAAATTCAAACAATAAAATAATTATTAATTATTTATTAAGTAACCTAAATACAATAGGAAATAAACCTCACATTATTAAATATGGGACATATTATTCTATCATTATTATTATTATTTCTATATTATTCCTGTTGTATTTTGTATATTTGGGTTTTAAGCTTTCCCGCCGATCTCGTAACATTCGCCTTACAAAGAATAATACTAGTAACACTCCTAAAGTGAAATTCATAAAAACTTCACCTCAACCGCATTTAAAATTTATACCACCTGAGATTGAACAAAATAGTGATTCTGAATTTGATAATGTTGCACCGCTTAGAACCCAAGTTTAAAGATATTATTAGTTAACTAGTATCGAGAGATTTTACGATATCATCCCTAAAATCTCTTCTTAAGGGGGGAGATGTTATACCCTGTACTTGTTAGCCTTAGTTGACTTAGCCTTTAGGTTCAGTGAGTATCGCAGTGGAGCAGTTCGGCCAAGTTAGTAGTAGTCACCGTAACTGCTTCCATCTTCGAACCTGCTCTGTTGTCTACGGACCTAAGTTAAATCCTAACCAGTTTGTAATATGTAATCCAGTTATAGTTTAATTAAATATCGGTGTTTTAAATAATTGTTTTTAAAAACCAATCAGCCCGTCTCCGTATAACAGAACGATACGAGTTAGCCGTCAGAGCCCGGATTTTTTATTTATTTATTTTAATGAGGTGTTAATCACGCAAGCTCGCAAATACAATGCTACCCAACCCGCATTGGAGCAGTGCACTTTGAGAATTTTAAAATGTCTCCAAAATACACCATTTTGTATGTCTGATACGCAGGTTTCCCCAAGATGTTTTTATAAGTAATGAACGGGTTATAGATTGGAGATAATTTCATTGATCACGTGATCTCTGGTGCCAACGAATAGGCGAGCGTCCAATTCCTATTATGGTTCTAAAAGTTGAAGATACAAGTTTGAAATAAAAAAAGTCGCAGTAAAAGACTACAGTAGCTGAAGTAGAACTAAAATAGTTGAATATTCTGAAGACGTCTGTAAAGTCTGCCAATATGCATGAGGCCGAGCGGCGGATAGGTACTTTGGCCTAGTAGAGCAAAGCTAATAAAACCCTCTTAACAATGAGGTGTTCCCAGCTGTAAAACGTACATAGGCTGTACTTTACTGTTAAAGTTAGTAGCAT